GCTAGCTCTGTAGATAGAGTGAGACTCAAATGCAGCCCTCTTCCCATTGATAATTTGTCTGCTGTATATTCTGATACAAAGATACTATCAGATGGATTGACATAATCTTTTAGTGTGCATTTGCCCAGGACCTGAAAGAAAAGAAAGTGTTTACAGCACTGGAATTCTAGAAGATATCTGAAAACTACTGTGAAAGAAGAAAGGAAGTCCCCAGGAAAAGACGCTGTTGTTTCTTTTCATCTTCTTAGTGTTAGATCAATTTGAAGGCTGACTTCAGCTGAGATTGTTTAAATACTTGAAGGAAGCTGCTGTTTACCTTCCCAGGTCCCCCTCGTTAGGAGATGCTGAACAATTAAAACATAGCTGTTCAGAGCTGATACAAATCCTGAATGGATTTGCAAGGTTGTAGCGAGAGGCTGCCCCCCACGAGCTTTCAAAGCTTCAGCTGAAGTCAAAGATTGGAAGATATCAGAGAGGGCTGGGCTTTCAGCATTGAACAATTGATTGAGGGTCGTGCTGTGTCAGGGACTGTGCTCAGGACATAGTGGAAGATAAAACAGATTCCCTGTCCTTGAGGAGCCTGGAGCCTATGGAAAGAAAAATGGACTAGTAAGCAACTCCTGGAGAACACTGTGAGCTAGGAGCACTGGGTATTGGACAAAGAGGCCAATCCTGTAGCATCCTTGGTACAGAAAAGGGATTTCATTAGCTCCTCAAATTGATTAGGCAAGCAGGAAACACAACATTAAGAAAGACAATGGGCTATTAAAATGTGTTAGGAATATATAACTCATAGATCAAGTGCTTGATTATCACATATATACGACACTGAATCGAATCCCTACCGTCACGGAAGTAGACAATGACAATGATGAAGAGAAAGAAAGAGGAGGAGGAAGGGGAAAAGATGGAGGAAGGAGAGGAATAGGAGGAGATACTGGGGAGGAAAGACTGAAGTGCACTGAGCACGGCGAAGCCTACACACTGACTTGATACTTTTCGAGGGACCCAATCTTTCAGCCTCCAGACTTCTTAGTATCAGCCTACTTGGGTGACTCCTTCCCCACGTCAAGGGTCCTGAAAGAAGAAGGTTACTTTGTGACAGCAATAGTTGGAGGAATCATTCTTATCGATAGGTTCCACTTTTCCAGGGACCTGAACATTCTGAATTCACCCTTAGCTGGTGCTGGGTTAGTAGGCTTCCTTTTAAAATTCCATGTTGGTGTTTGTGCTTCTGCTAAGTGCAATCTCTCAAGTATATTTTTATTTTTTGGCTAAGTCATTCATATGTCAAAATTCAAAGCTACAACAGGTTTACAGTGAAAAACTCTCACCCTATGACCAAGCCAACTGGGGACAACTTAAGCTATCAGAATTCTGAGTATCCTTCCCAAGAATGTTTTTTTAATGCATCACAAATTTATCACAATACTTTTTAAAATACATATTCTTCAAACAATAAATTCTGATTTTGGCTTTCCCTCCCCCCAATTACTTCCACATCCACCCCAACACCCTAGCCACCCAACTCCTCTCTGTCTCTTTTTTTTTCTCTCTCCCTCTCTCTTTCTCTCATTAAAATACAAGCAGGCATCTAAAAAATAATAAGATAAAATAAAAACAAACTGGACTATAATAAAGTAAACAAACCACCAGGAGAAAAAAACACAAGAAACATATATAGACACCCACACCCACACACATTTTCGCACACAGAAATCATAAAATACAACAGTGGAAAATATATGTGTATGTATGCATTCATGTGTGTATGCATGTATGCATACATGTAAAGTAACTGTAATAGGGAAAAGAAAAAAAAAAGAATGCCCAGGTGAAGCATTATGAGACAAGGAACCTCCAAAAACGCCATTGAGTTTGTTTTATATTGGCCATCTACTGCAGGCCACAGGGGTCTGTCCTTGAGGGTGGTTTGTGCTTACACCAAGTGAGACTCCACTGGAGAAAACCAATTTTCCTTTTGCAAGTGGTTATGATTAGAGACAGCTTCTGGGTTAGGGATGGGTGTTTGCGCCCACTTCCTCTCTCGGTGCTGGGAACCCCTCACACCCTCCCATGTGACTTAGACCTAGGCAGGCTCTGTGCTCACTGCCACAGTCTCTGTGAGTTCACGGGTCAGTCCTATTATGCTCAGAAGGCCTTGTTTCCTTGGTATCCCCATCCCCGCTGGCTCGTACAGTCTCTGCCTCTTCTGTGGGGTTCCCTGAGCCCCACAGAGAGGAATAGACCAAGTGGTCCAAGGTCTCTCACTCTCTGCTCTTTGTCTCTGTTTTTGCTTCCACCGACTGCAGGAGGAAGCCGATGATGGCTGAGCAAGGCACTGCTCTGCGGGAAGCAAACTGCCATTAGGAGCCGAGGTTTTCAACTGTTGCTTTTCTTATCTACAGTCCACTTGTGAAGACATACTTCAGTTACCTTATTTGAACTTGAATATTGCTATATATCTTTCTGATTTAATTTGGGAGTATCCAGTCCCCTACACTACAGATACAAATGCATCTCAGAATAGATGACTTTTACAGATAGCTTAGCTTACTCATCGTGTGTGGACGTGTGGAATAGTTTCAGAGATTCCATGTCTGTACACACGTTGGTGTCAACCATAGCTGTGAAATATGGATTCTTCCAACAGCTTCTTTGGTTGTTCATTTTGCTGATCCAGTGACTTTATTCATTTTTTGTTTGTTTGTTTCATTTTGATCTCAGAAAATACTTTTAAAAACTCTGTGTTTTATAGGTTGGGATGAAGTTGAATTAGGTGTATCTTCCAGGCAGCATCAATGAGGGGGGAACTAAAAAGCAAAAACTCTTTCCCCATGCTTCTGAGGTAGTTTCCTGCCCTTTATCTTCCCATACCCACACTACTGGAAATTAGGCCTTTTGATCGATCTATAAAGTATGCTACTATTAGACTTTTATATGCTGTAGATATTAGTAGGAGACCACCACATCCTAAAGCTCTTACTCAACTGCTGTTACTGGAGTCACCTTCAGGGAGGAGAGAAGGCAAGCAGCCACACACTGCAACTTCTGAATGAGGCAGCATTGTCAAGTGTTAGGACAGATGCCTTACAGATGTGGCCTGATGTTAGGCACACAGCCAGTGTAGAAGACATGTGATTTCAGTTAATGAGGTCACAGGAAGCACAACTACAGACGTTTTCAAACCCTCAAAACAGAAAAAAAAAAGCAAATGTGGAGAGGGTGATTTGCTTTGCTTTTGTAACTGTTGGAGTGGTGTGTGAGACTCTTCTACCTCCCTCTTTTTCCCCCTACTGGATTCCAAGAGGTAAGTGCATCTGTTTGGCTAGTTTTCCACCTAACCTCATTTCAGCCAGGCACGCTTAGGTCTTACACTTTAAAATGACAGTGATGCCTTTAATGAGAGACATGAAGATGTTTTTCAGCTCTCAGAACTGAAGTGAAGCGAAGCGAAAGTCGTGTTAAGTGAGGCAGTGTCTCAGGTAGTTCAGGCTGGCCTTGAACTTGCTATGTAGCCTGAGCGGCTATACCCGGCCTTATAAGGTTTGTGGTGAGGTTTTTGTTTGGTTTGGTTGTTTGGTTGTTTTTACATGCATGTTGGGTGATCACTCAGCCACTAAGCTACATCCCTAGCCTCTCCCAATTTTTTAAATCCCTTTACTGAGGTGAATGCATCTCTGGTCACCCTAGGCTTTACCCAGAGAAGCAGCCCCCCAGAGCTGGCTATGTTCTTCTATGGGGTGAAAGTGCTTTTTAAGTTTTCAGAAATTCTTGAGTCCTCACTAGCAGAATGAACTTCCATTAGGAAGATCAAGGGTTGTGAGTCTAAATCACGCAATATTTTAGGAGCATGAGATAGGAACCTAGACACAGTGGTTCCTTTGATAGTAACAGGATCTTATGACCTCTTTCTTGAAAGTTACCTTATATTTATACAACCTTTAGAGCCGACTTTACCTGCAGCATCTATCTTGGTCCTGGTTAGCTCGTGGACCAGGGGAAATCAATGCAACTGTTCTCAGTTTCTATAAAAGACAAACACAGAGAAGCCGGCGGTGCTCATCGTGCAGGCCTATAATCACAGAATTAAGAATGGAGGGTCGGGCATTGGTGGCGCATGCTCGGGAGGCAGAGGTAGGCGGATCTCTGTGAGTTCGACAATACACAGAAACCCTGTCTCTAAACACGAAGAAGGAAGAAGGAAGAAGGAAGAAGGAAGAAGAAGAAGAAGAAGAAGAAGAAGAAGAAGAAGAAGAAGAAGAAGAAGAGAAGGAAGGAAGGAAGGAAAGAAAGAAAGAAAGAAAGAAAGAAAGAAAGAAAGAAAGAAAGGAGGGCTGGAGGCCAGACTGGGATACACAGCCAGACTCTTTAAAGCATAGAGGAACATACAGTAAAAAAAAAAAAAAAAAAAAAAAAAAAATCACAAGGAGAAGTACTCAAAGATTTTGTCCCTTCCATTAAGAAGCGGCATATCTATTTGAGTTCCCTAGTTTTAGTTCTACAAATACAGTTAAGGAACTATGCAATCGAGCACCCAAGTCATGTCGAAAGAAACCTTCTAAGACAAGCTTTGGAAGGAAAGGCTATCTGTAGTCTTTCCTTATTTCTGACTTAATATCTGTGTGTTTTCAAGAAGGAAGAGCCAGTGTTCTAAAGTATAGCCCACAGGCTCGGATCGCAAAAGTAGGACTCTACCACAGGGTCGTTTCATTCGGTGTCATATTGGGTTCTGGGTCAGCGCCACAGACCTGAATTTAAGCCCAAGATTGTCCTTGGTCTTTGCACGTTCAGGTTGCAAAATGGACTTCCAAAGCGACAGACGAACGAACGGACCACCCAGAGGAGGCACTGGGTAGCCTCCCGGTGGAGCTTCGCGGCGATCCCTTAAGCCGGTTCTGGAGGCACAGCTAAAAAAGGGCAAGCCCCGGGACGTGACCCGCGGGCGCTGAGGCCACCTGTTCTCGGCAGCCAATAGGCCGGGCCCGGGGCGCGGCTACAAAAGGAGCGCGCGGCCGCAGGCTGGGAGCTGGCGCGAGGGCGGTGGCTGAGACCTTGTGCACACGGAGCAACCAGGACCAGGGCGATGCTGAGGGTGCGGTGTCTGCGCGGCGGCAGCCGAGGTGCCGAGGCGGTGCACTACATCGGCTCTCGGGTGCGTTTCTCTGCGGCCTCGGGACCTCAGCGGGATTCAGGGTGGGGACCCAGAGGGAGACTGGACTAGACCATGGTGTGGTGTGGGTTCGGTGGCCCGCGAAGGCATTTTGTTTTTGTTTTTCTGGAAAGATGCTTGTGGGTGGATGGATGGAGCTACCGGCTCCGGCTGTAACACGGATTCCAGGGGCTTTCAGGAGAGTTGGAATGAGTCCAGCCTGTCCCCCACCTGCTGTTCCGCCCTGCCCTCTGCTTCCCTGGGATGTCCGAACGCTCTCGCATGCCTGCAGACTCTCCCATGCTCCTCAATAGGAATAGCTCTGGCAGATGAGTTCTGCCAGCAGCTGGTTCCTTAACAGCTGTCACTCGCCCTCTTGCTTTGGTTCTCCACCCTTAAGTCCCTCCAACCCCCTTCTGGAGGAATTTTAACTGCCTGATTGAGATGGGGAGCCGGTGAGGTTTGCACAGGGGAGGGAGTGAGGGAATCTTCCTGCTCTAGGTTATACAGGCCTGTGTTTTTAAAAAGATGCTTTGACATGCTTAGATCACCTCTTAAATTTAAATTCTGTGCCTGTCAGGGTTAGCCCTTAGGGTAGCTAGGGGCCCACGGACCATCTGTAATATGGTGCAAATGATAGTTGGTCACTCTCTGACTCGAAATGCTAAAGAATGTGAAATATGTGTCTGATGCTTAAAAAAAATAGGTTGGAGCTGCATATTCTGAAAGATACGAGCTTTTCAAATGAGTCCGTGTTATTTACAGTAAAAAAGAGCTCAATTTTAGTAACCTTCCAGATCGAGGAAGGAAGACGTCCTCCCCCAGTTGGACACGGAGCATTTATTTAGTGAAGGGAGTGACCTGTCTCCAGTGAAAGTTTCTGAAAGCTTGCTTGCATTATTCTGAGATACAGATGGGGGATGTGGTGGCCAGGAACCAGATCTTCCTAGGGGTTTTTAAAAGTTACATCATTTAACATAAACAAACAAAAGCAAAATGTATAATCAACAAAAAGTTGTGTGGCTTGTTGAAGCCACACAACCCCTCTATTAAGCAACAACTTGGTATCTCCTAAAGTAGACGTCTGTCTGTGTTATCCTGGGTTCTCAGACTGTAACCAACCCCACCTTGTTTGAGTTTTGTGCTTTTGTTTCTTAAGCTCGGAGGATCCTTGACAGGATGGGTGCAGCGAACTTTCCAAAGCACCCAAGCAGCTACAGCTTCCTCCCGGAATTCCTGTGCAGCTGAAGACAAGGCCACTGATCCCCTGCCCAAGAACTGCCCCGTCTCCTCTTACAACGAATGGGACCCGTTAGAGGAAGTGATAGTGGGCAGAGCAGAAAATGCTTGTGTCCCTCCGTTCACGGTTGAGGTGAAGGTAAGTAAGGCTTTACAAGCAAGGTTCTCTCCTTACGATCTGCAGCCTGATTCTGCTCCCACCTCCTCGGCAACTGCTTTCACCTCAGTGCACGTGTGTGTGTGGGGAATTGATTTGTAAGTAATTTTGCTTGATACCACCAGTATTTGATATTATTCACACATTGTTTCCTCCTTGAAACGTCCCTGGGAGTCGAGGAGAACTTTCCTGGGGGGCTGTTTTTTAGGTATTCCTCCATATTTTCCTTCACAACTTGTTAGCCTGTTGTTTCCCTTTCGTCCCATCCTTGTAGCCATTCTCACAGCTTCGGCTCCCTCATCCACTCGTCCAGACCACTCCCCTACCTGCCGTCTAGTCTGTGTCTACACTGTGGATACTGCCACTTGGCACAGCTAGAGTTCCAGTTGTGGGACACCTCTAAGCCAGTCTTTATTTCTTCCTTTTAATTTTTGGCAGTTTTACTTAATCAAATCAAAATACCAACCATCTTTGGTTTCTCTTTCAGTCACATCTCCCACATCAAGCCTTTTGTCAAAAGGAATCTTGCCCATGCCTCATCTCTTCCTTAGGTCTGGAGTTCATCAATGCCTGTTAGCTCCCAGCTTCCTCTCCTTCACTCCCCTCACCAGGCCATATCCCATTCACTATTGGAATGACTTGTTCTAAGCCCAAGTTTGATCATGTGACTCATTGTGCTCCCATCTTACTAACACCCTCCTTCTGGTACTGAGAATAAAGCCCTTGTGGTACTCAGGTTTCTCCATAAGCTGGCTCTTTGCACCTCCAGGACCCCGATTCACACACATCGCAGAGGTGCGTGGTATGGCAAGTTAGCCGATATTCATTTCTATTTAAGTTGTTTTCTTTTCTGGTAGTCTGCCTAGACTTGTAGCAGACATTAGCAAACAAACAAGAACCAACAAGAACCATGCTCTCACCTGTGTCTCTCACTTCCTTCTGCCTCTACCTAGCTCTAAAATGTCTTTCCCAATACCTTCCAGGGTTGCCTGGCATTAAGTATTATCTTCCCTTTAAAAAAATAAACTCCTAATATGTACTTGCAATATTCTTATGGCCAGAGTCCTTAGGGGCTAGTGTTCGGATGAAGTGTTATATAAGGGTTCCTTCTGTTTTCTAGGCAGTTTCTAAGATCTTGTTAATCGTGAGTCATAAATAACATTTCTAGTGTGTTTGAGTTCTTCCTAAATACCTATACTTTCATCTGTAATGCAGAGTGGGGAAATAAGTCTGTAACCATGCCTGTGTCACCGGAAATGCATTGACATAAAGGAGCGTCAAGTCTGTTTGGAGAGATGGGATGAATACCTTGATGCAGAGGCTGAGTGCCTCATGCCACCCAGCTGGCAAGGCAGTGGAAGCCCAAGGAATGCTAAGGGAAGAGCATGCCAAGCACTGGGCAGTTACAAAGCACTCTGAAGGAGGCAGTTCTTGAGTGAGACCTGGCAGGGATTGCAATGGGTTCTTCCTATTATTCTGAATATACCTTTGGTTCTGATAACTGAAATTTGGTATGCAGATTAATTTCTATGCTAGCCCCATATTTTAAAATAAATAAGACATACTTTTTCAAAGTCTTCTTTTATAAAGAAGTATCCCTACCCATTTTGGCTGGGAAAATTCAGATTCAGCTAATAGCTTATCATCTAATCTGTCTTTAAAATTATTGACTATTACACATTCATATGATCTGACCTTAGATGTGTCTGTGTCTACATGCCTGTGTAAGTACTCGTGGTACTTTGCCAACTACCTTACAGGATTAAACTTGAAGGTATAAAATTATATGTTGAAAAGTACAAAATACATAAAGTATAAGTCATAGTTTTAGGGATCCAGTTTGCTGGTTACATCACAAAAGTATCTTGGGGGTATATTAGCTGTAGATACCAGTAACAGTAGCCGTGTTGATTTCATTCACTTTTCTGGTGACTTCTGTTTTATGTGATAGACTAAGCTAATTGATGAAGAAGAAGAAAGTAAACAGAAGACACATACATCCTTTAGAAGGGAGACAGAAAGATGAATCTCATGAAACCTAAGCTAACCTTAAACTTGCTGTGTATCCAAAGATGACCTTGAATTGCCGATCCCCCTGCCTCTACCTTCCAATGCTAGGGTGACAGACATGCGCCACTAGACCCAGGAACATGGATAAATTACTCTATTTAAGAACCATAAAAGCTGGGCTGTGGTGGTACAGGTCTTTGATCCCAGCACTCAGTGGGAAAGTGGGAGGGAGGATAGGAAGGGAATGCAAGGGAAGGGAAGGGAAGGGAAAGGAAGGGAAGGGAAGGGAAGGGAAGGGAAGGGAAGGGAAGGGAAGGGAAGGGAAGGGAAGGGAAGAGAAGGGAAGGGAATAATGACTGGATTAGGTGGCACATGCCTGCATGCTAACATTCAGGACATTGAGTCAGGAGTCAAGACCAGCCTAGCCTACATAGCAAAATCTTGTTTCAAAAAGAAAAGAATGATAAAATAATGTAGTAGAGTGTCTCTAGGTGAGTAGAGTTTAAAATATGTTACAGGACATACACGTTGGAAATTTTTTAAAAGGAACAAGAAACGTCGGTCAAAAGCACTATTTCAAAAGTTAATGGCTTTTCTTTTTGTAAAACATAGTAAATAGTTGCTTTTGTCTTTTTAAAAATAAGGCCCTTGATAGAGGACTTCAAAAATATTACTAATTAAGGTTAATATAATGCAAATTTATTGTCAGGTTAACAAAAGATTTGTGTCTATTGGTATTTCATAGAGTTTTCAAAGAGGGTGTTTGAAAATTAACATAGCAGACAGACTCTGCACAGGTGTTTAGGCTGGGGGGGGCTACAAGGTTTCCAGGAATGCAGCTTCATCTCTGCCACAGGTTATTACAGACGTCATGTGCTACAGTAGAATGCTCATTGTCTGGAAAATGCTTGGTAAATGATTTCTAACTCATTTAGCAAGGTCATAAAGGAAGTGTAAACAATTTTTAAGTCTTTCTTAGAAAATGTAATTTGCCCTGATCATTTGGACTTTGTCCAATGTTTGCCGGATTATAAACTGCACAAACATATGTTCAAATAAATTTTTTCTCCCAGAATAGTTGACTTAATATTTCATATCAAGGCAAGGTTCACTCTAAACAGATACTCAGCACTAGACACCTTGGAGTGAGTCAGGCAAGACAACACGACTGTGTCTGCTGTAATTCAGTATTGAGTTTTCAAAGGCTTCTTGTCCCTTAGTGGACTGTAGGAGATGTGCCTGGCATGAGAAGATGGGAGTGGTGAATGGATGGGTAGTAGTACCAGGACGTGTCAGAGAGGAAAATAAAGAACCATTATCTTCTGTCTCTAGCTGCTATGGAAGAAATTCCTACGAGTAGAAAACTACTTGTTGTTTGGTTTGGCATTAGTTTGTTTTGGTTTTTATTTAAATTCTTTTTCATTTTACATACTAACCACATTCCTCCCTCCCTCTCCTCCTCTCACCCCCCTTCCCATTTGCATCCCAACCCCCTCCGATTTGTCCACACCTCAGAGGGGGTAAGACCTTCTTTGGGATGTACCAAGTTGAGGCAGCACCAAGTCCCTCCTCCCTGTATCAAGGCTGATCTAGGTATCCCACCATAGGGAATGGGCTCCAGAAAGCCGGTTCATCCCCTGGGTTAGGTCCTGGTGTTACTGCCAGGGGTACCCTAACAGATCAAACCACATAACTGTCACCCACATTCTGAGGGTCTAGTTCGGTCCCATGCAGGTCCCCCAGCTATCAGTCCATAGCCCATGAGCTCCCACTAGCTCGGGTCAGCTGTCTCTATGGTTTTCTCCATCATGGCTTTGTTAAGACTAGATTAGCCATAAAAGTACTCAAATGTTTCATGCTGATAACATTTTTCCTGGGTTAGCAGTTGAGCCTGCAATTTGTTCATAGATCTTCAAGCTAATCAGAACAGAGACCAACAAACTTTGTTTCTGCCTAAAGGCATACAATAAATGATTCAGGCTTTGCAGAGAATGAAAATCTACATTGTAGCTTTTTGATTCTCAGCCCTACCACTATAGTGGGAAAGCAGCCACAGGCATTGCATAACAAAATTAGCTTGAAGAATCTCCTTAAACTTTTCTTTGGAAAAATAAGTGGCCTGGCTGGATTTGACCTGGGGAACCTTAGTTTACCAACAACTCAGCTTTCAGAGCCTAGTTAGCTAGCCTCCTTCATGTTTTTGAAAGAGCTGCTTTTCAGCTTATTTTGTAACCTCTAGCCTGGGTTCCAGACTTAGTAGAGGCTAGTTTACACTCATATAATTTGTTTATCAGATTAAGGTAAATAAGGAAGAAGAGACATAAGCTTGGGAAAAAATTCTTTGATATTGAAGATCTAGGTAGTTAGTCCAGTCCTGATGAACAACACTTAGAAACACCAGGTATGGTAGTACACACCTTTACTTCCAACACTTGACAGAGGAAGGCAGATCTCTGTGAGATCAAGGCCAGCCTGGTCTACATAGTGAATTCCAGGCCAATCAGGACTGTAAGATGAGACCCTGTCTCAAAACAAACTAAAACAAAAATCTTTAAGAACAAGAACCATAATAAATAATCCTAGTTTTAGAAGGTTTGTGCATCAAGGTGAAAATGTTCAAACTTGTAGAACATAGTAGCCAAGCCCCTCACTATCTGGAACACTGTCCAGTCAGAGGACTGAAGTTTTATCCTGTTTAGTCAGGTAGGGGGTGAGTGCCTGAGCCTTGTCCTTGCATGTGAAAAGGTCATGTGTTTGAGCGCCTTGTCTCTTGGGTAGGATTGCCAAGTGCTGTAGATAACTAGCTAAACTAAGTGAGCTTCAATGTATTTGAGCCTTTAACCTATCTTTGCCCCTTCTTTTCAAATGTCAGATTTGAAGGAGAAAACTTATGTATAAGACATGATTAGAACCTGTAGTTGGTTGTCAACCAGTAACAAAGAAACTTTAAAAAAAAGAAAAAAGACTTGATTTGAATATGTTTTTCAACTTAAAATATTCCATGGCTTTTCCAGTGTTGTGAAGAAGTTCTAAGAGTTTTTCTCAGGATCTGGGTCCTCTGCTTTATCCGGCTAGGTAATTGTAGTATGCAGCATGCACACACCCAGTGTTTTTCTTTAAACTGACTGATAACTTAGACAAATGGCAAACAATCTTAATGTGGACTCTTGATTTTTACGTTTTGCATCTCACCATTGAAAAGTGTTTACATACTTAGCTAACTCTGTGAATTTGCATTTCAGATTACTTTCCTTCTAAAGAGCCCAAAATTATGTTAGATTGGATTTGAGAGAGGTGAGGGGTGTTAGGTGTGACACACACTGACAGACAAGCTCCAACACCTGGCTTGCATCACTGCACAGTTTTGTTAAAGGCAAAGTCTGTTCAGTGGGAAAATGAGCCATGCATGTTAGGGCATGTAAAATATATTTGAGAACATAATCTTCTCACAGTTAAAATATCTTTTTTGTTCCACAAAAATCTCTTGAAGTACAGCATTACTGTAAGAACTCGGGAGTTTGTGGATTGCGATTGCTTAGGGTCTTGGCTTAGTGTAGGGTTTTTAGTCTTTGTTTTCCCTCTGGTTTCATCTCACTGAGGCTCTCTAATAGGAGTGTCTGTGTTCTGTTTTGCCTGTGAAGCATGGCCAGGAAGATTTGAAGCCTGTATTGGGAACACACAAGCTGTTAGGGGTTGGGCATGAGATGTGAGCCAGAAGGATCAAAGGCCTCAAGAGAATTTAGGGCTAGAGAAAGATGCTCATTGGTTAAGAGTGCTTCCTGCTCTTCCAGAGGACCCAGGTTTAGTTCCAACACCAATATCTGGCACAGCTCAGAACTGAGTGTAACTCCAGATCCAGGAAATCCAGCCCCTTTTTCTGGTGTGACACACACACACACACACACACACACACACACACACACACACACACATCTTTGAAGAATATATTACAGGATGATTTAAAGATCTTCATTCAGCAAATCCTGGGTGTCTGTTGAGAGGCTGGTGTGCTCAGTGCTGGGATGAGCTCTGAACAAGCTCTGTTTGTGGTCTGCGTCCCTCTTACGCTAGACACATAGCTGCTCATGGCCTAAGAAGCTAACGTGAGCTGTAGAATTCTCCTGTGATGCTTTCATTTACTTTCTTCTGCTTCTAGGCCAATACATATGAAAAGTACTGGTCATTTTACCAGAAAAATGGAGGTCTTTATTTTCCCAAAGATCACTTGAAAAAAGCTGTTGCCGAAGTTGAAGAAATGTGCAATATTTTAAAAATGGAAGGTGTGACGGTGAGGCGTCCTGACCCCATTGACTGGTCACTGAAGTATAAGACCCCTGATTTTGAGTCTACAGGTCAGTACTGTCTTGAAAGGAATCTGACAGAGCCTTGATTTGCGATTTCCTTCTTCGATACATAAGGAGAATGCTCTTAGAATTTCTTGGAGAATCCTTTGTTTCTCTTACTAATCAAACTTTAGAGATTATTTGCTTACTAATCAAAACGTTAGAGACTACTGAGGAAGCATCTGATTCAGTTTGATATGGTTGAGGTGTACACATTATAAACTTCTAAAAGTTATAGACATTTTACATAAGAAGAGTGAACTGTACCTAGTTTTCCTTAATGGCAGATATTAAAAGGGAAGGTGAGGGGGTGGAGAGGTGGCTCATCAGTTAAGGACCATTACTATTCTTGCAGAGGACCTGGGAGTTCAGTGTTCACAGCACCAACATCTGGCAGCTCATAACAGTGTGTAACTCCAGTTCCAGGGAACCTGACACCCTCTTCTGGTGCACATACTCCCACACAGACACGTATTACGTACATATTCCAATTTTTTAAGGGGAGAATGGAAACGTTCCCTTTTTTAAAACTACCATTACTTCACAACTGCTCTTGTGTTTGAGTTCTATAATTTATTTTTCAGAATGATCTTAGCCTAGTTCTAATTGTGCCATACTGTCCATTATGAACTCTGTTTCTGTATCTAAAAAAGGAACCTGCAACTAGAGAAGGTTTGATGGTTCAAAATCTCTCTCACTTCTTCCTTTACATTTTTGCTTGACATCACCACCCAACAGGGAATTCTTGCCAACAGTCTATTCTCATGTGTATCATTCCCTTTGCCTGTTTTATATAATTATGTAGACAAACAAGGTTTTAGGGAACTTTTTCTACAAATAGTTTATGTTGCACATACTTTATGTCTTGGAAATTTGCATCACTAAGGTGGCCATGGAACTTTTGGTTTGATAGGTTTATACAGTGCAATGCCTCGAGACATCTTGATGGTTGTGGGGAACGAGATTATTGAGGCTCCCATGGCGTGGCGTTCACGCTTCTTTGAGTACCGAGCATACAGGTCACTTATCAAAGACTACTTCCACCGTGGTGCCAAGTGGACAACAGCGCCCAAGCCCACCATGGCTGATGAACTCTATGACAAGGTAGGTCCCTAGACATAGACCAGCTTGTTAATATCTTCCAAATAATCCACAAAGGGTAAGAAAGGAATTCTCTGGTACTTTGCACATATTATGCACTTCCATTTTAAAAACTTACTATCTTTAGATGAAACTAGGAGTAAATGTTAATGATCATAACAGCAATAATAATAGCTAACATTTACTGCTTACTCTGTACTGAGTCCTGGGCTCAGGATACATCATCGATCATATTTGTTCTTACAAAAATTCTAGAAGGAATTGGGTGATAGTGGCACATGCCTTTAATCCCAGCACTTAGGAGGCAGAGGCAGTTGGATCCCTGTGAGTTCAAAGCCAGCCTGGTCTACAAAGTGAGTTCCAGGACAGCCAGGGCAACACAGAGAAGAAGAAGAAGAAGAAGAAGAAGAAGAAGAAGAAGAAGAAGAAGAAGAAGAAGAAGAAGAAGAAGAAGAAGAAGAAGAAGAAGAAGAAGAAGAAGAAGAAGAAGAAGAAGAAGAAGAAGAAGAAGAAGAAGAAGAAGAAGAAGAAGAAGAAAAAACTCTAGAAGGAAGTGATAATGTGGTTTCATTTCATCACTGGGAGCAAAACTTGTCCTAAATGCACATAGCTATTCACTGCTGGAGCCACAAAAATCCTTAGGTTAAAGTCCTTCTCTTCTTCCAAAGAAAAAACACCTGGTGTCTTGGCCTAATTCGAGGTAAGAGGAAATATGTAGTCATCTCCTGCCCTCAGGTTCTGCACCCATGAATTCAAGCAACTGTAAACAAGTAATATTTTTGAAAAATGCCCGTCCTGTCATTCAACAACAGCATAGCATATCAATTATTTATATAACACTTTGGTTGCACTGAGGATTGTGGCTAATCTCGAGATATTTTAAAGGATTCAGGAGGACATGTATAAGTCCCAGGCAAATGCCATGCAAGTTTCTGCAATGGACTTGAACATCCATAGGTTCTAGGCATTTAAAGGCAGAAGTGAAAAATAAGTTCAGCACATCCAAATTTGGCAGGGTATGAATTGGGCTCAGGACCAAATTCCTTCTCTAAAGGAGAAGGGTGACTTCATCCCGCTGGCTTTTCAGGATTGTAACTAGGTACACACATGCGTATGTACCCCCTGCACCACTTGTTTCTCTAATGGCTAACTTTTCATTTTGTTGTGGTGGTGGTGGTTTTGTTGGTTTGATTTGTTTATGTTACTTTTCTGTTTGCTGTGATGAGGGACTTGAGAGAAGGAATCTAAGTGAGAAGGACCTGTTTTAGCTCACAGTTTGGATTACATTGGCTGACCCCACCCACATGACTTGGCAGAACAGCGTGTTGGCAGAAGCATACAGGAGATGTTTTGACTTCTTGGCAGACCAAAAAGAGAAAGGGGATACAGGAAGAGACCAGAGCAAAATGGAGCCCCCAAAGATACACCTCCACTGACCCATCTTCTCCCAACTAGATCCCACCTCCTAACTTTGACCACCTCTCAGTAATGCTATTAATAAAGGGATTGATTCTTTGATTAGGTTAGAGCCCCTTATAATCTTTTTTTTTCTGGAAATGCCAAAAGGATAGGCTTCACTAATCCCTCAGGCTTTCCTTAATCCAATCAGATTGGATTGTCAGAATTGATCATCACGGGCCAATATCTCTTCTATGGGTGTTTTAATCTAGAGTTGAATTGTAGTATCTTGGGAAATTATAGTATTGGACTAATTTCTAAAATCGTGTATATCCTTGTAAGTAAGTTCCTTTAAAAATAAATACATTGTTTGTGTTCTTGTTCTAACTAGGATTACCCCATCCATTCTGTGGAAGACAGACACAAATTGGCCTCTCAGGGAAAGTTTGTGACGACCGAGTTCGAGCCATGCTTTGATGCTGCTGACTTCATTCGAGCTGGGAGAGATATTTTTGCACAGAGAAGCCAGGTTGCTAATGACTGGCTCTCACACTGCATTATTGCATTCTTTATTCCTAAATTTTAAATTTTAAACCCTACATTCTTTTGGTTTTCCAAACTTAGAATGGAATATTTTTAATATTGTATTTATTTTCAGGTGACAAACTACCTGGGCATCGAGTGGATGCGTAGGCATCTTGCTCCAGACTACAGAGTGCATATCATCTCTTTTAAAGACCCCAATCCCATGCATATTGATGCCACCTTCAACATCATTGGACCTGGGCTTGTGCTCTCCAACCCTGACCGGCCATGTCATCAGGTAGGAGAGTTCTTAGGACACCAGAAAAGCTAAAGAGTCTAGAAACTTCATTTTAAGCAAAAGAACCTTGGCACTGTAAGTATTTCCCTGGTTCCCAGTGGTTCTGAGCGGCAACTTTAGCAATGATCAGTGGCATTATTATCTGACATTGATTTGCTTATGTTTTTGCAAGCTTCTCAATGTGCAAAAATCTACACTGCCATTGTGATGGCTAGCATAGTATATCAGACGGAGAATTTAGCTCTTTGTGGCTGTCAAAGCATCAAATTTGAGTGTTTGTGTTGTCATTCAACAGGGATTGTCATTTTCAATTGCAGTTCAACAGGATTATAAGCAAGTGACTTTTGTGTGGCCAGAGAAATGCCACTGAGCAGTAGTTATCTTGCCCCTCAAGTGGGTCAGCCTCCCTTCAGCCTGTCCATTTGGGGAGGAGCAGATCTGCTCAGCTTGCCCTGCTCTCTCCCTGTCACCCACAGCCCCTTGTCTTCTACCTGCTGCCTCTTGGCCCAGATGGGAAGTGAGTTATTTGCAAGGCTGCAAGACACCTTTTTAGAAGTACTTTCATGCCATGCAGAATTCATTTCTATCCCTTATTTTCATACCTAATGACCAAGATAATCCATCCCATCTAATAGAATGTACTGATATTCTAAGTGAGAGTGTGGTTGTATGTGGAAAGGCCAGTTCGTAATGGATATCTAGTGACAACTGCGGTGTTTGAGACTACAGCCCTGACGTTTATCCTTATTCATGGTGGTGCAAAATGATGGAGCAGATAGACTGTCAGTTTGACATCATCCCAGTGTTGTTTTCTTATAACTAAACAGGACATATTTAAATTTTCTTTACTGAGAATGTCTTGGGAAAGTGTCTTTGGTATTTTAAATTTTAAAACCTGAAAAGCTCTAATAGTTTTGTTGCTTTCTAATGTCACTGGAAGGAAACACACACACACATACAAACACATCACAACACACACACACATCACATCACAACACACACACACATCACATCACAACATGCACATATACAAACACAACACACATACCCCACATACCACACCACACCATACACACACATACCACACCACACCATACACACACATACCACATCACACCACACACATACCACACACACACACACACCACACACATGCATGCACACACACAGACACCACATAATTAAGTTGGCTCTTTGACAGCATACAATGCATTCTCTCTCCAATCCTCCCATCCCTCTCAACCCCACTGCTCCCTGTCAGTCCCTTTTCTACATCTATGACTTTTGGTTTGGTTTTGTGACACATTAAGTTTAACCAGGGCCATCTGTGTGACAACTGGATTGAGATTATCCATGGGAGCCCGGTGGGGTCACCACTGGGTACAAAGTGAAGGCAATGATTTTATCAATAGCAAAAATAGTTCACTAGGGTGGGGTAGGGCCCCTGAGTCCCTCCTCCGTCCATGTCTTTGTCGACAGCCCATTCTTGTACAGAACCCAGTACGGGTATCCACTGCTATTTTAAACTACAATTTGGACTGAATCATTGACTTTTTAAAAATGTGGATTTATTTATTTGTATTCTTATGTGCATTGGTGTTTTGCCTCCATGTTTGTCTGTCACTGGAGTTTCTGACAGTTGTGAGTAGCCATGTAGGTGCTGGGAATTGAACCCAGGTCCTCTGAAGCACCTACAAATTATAGTTTAAAATAGCAGTGCTCTTAACCTTTGAGTCATCTCTCCAGCCCCCCCAAATCATCAACTTTAAGAAAGTTTTTGTGTCCTTATTTTATAAATGGAGGTGATTTCTTACCAAAAGAGCTATTAATGATAAAGAGAGCTGGGGGTCATAGCACATGCCTATAATCCTAACGACTGTGATGCTGAGGCAGGTGGATTGTAAGGCCAAGGACAACCCGGGCTGTATGGCAGACATCATCTTTAACAACAAAACCGTAAGGATTGTCAGGAGCCCCATGGCAATGTGGACTTAAGTCTGTTGGGTTGTTTGATCTTACAGATTGATCTTTTCAAGAAAGCGGGATGGACCATCGTTACTCCTCCATCGCCAGTCATCCCTGACGGTATGCCAACTTTTTTTTTTTTTTTTTGGTTTTACGAGACAGGGTTTCTCTGTATTGTTTTGGAGGCTATCGGTCCAGCCTGGCCTCGAACTCACAGAGATCCGCCTGCCTCTGCCTCCCGAGTGCTGGGATTAAAGGCGTGCGCCACCACCACCCGGCGGTATGCCAACTTTTACAGCCTTTGTGAGCAAGTGTCTTCTCCTGTAGAGAAAGCCAACTTTTGTCAAACTAGAATTGGCATTTCCCCACTGAACAGTAAAGTGACGGCTGGTTCTAGAGTGAGCCCAGGTTAAGCGTGTGTGAGTTTTCCTTTCATAGAAAATGAAAATGATGGGGCAGAATACCATGCAAAATAAGACAGGATGATTCCAAATGTCTGGTGAATGTGGGCTGATTTATAAGATTTGTAGCTATGTTGTTCCATAAATAAAATAAGTTCTCAGAGCTGGGGATGTAGTTTAGTGGTGGAGTGCTTGCTTAGCATGTTTAAGACCCTGGGTCTGATCCCTAGTACTACAAAAACTCAAACAAAGCAGGCGGGGAGATTGGAGTTCAGTGTCATTTTGTATGGTAGAGAAAACCTTCCAGGAAAAAAATAAAAAGTAGCATAAAATAATAAGATAAGCTGTCATGCAGGAGCTAAAGCAGGAAAGGGACCGAGCTGTCACTTCAGTTCCCTTCCCTTGTAAGTCTTTTCTCTACAACAAGCAAATGGGATCAGACACAAATGCTTTAACAGTTGATGCTATTTTCAGACCATCCCCTCTGGATGTCCTCCAAATGGCTTTCCATGAACGTCTTAATGCTGGATGAGAAGCGTGTTATGGTTGATGCCAATGAAGCTCCAATTCAGAAGATGTTTGAGAAGCTGGGTATGTCTGGTAAACACAGCATGTTGTCACATGTAAACGTTCACCACTAACTGAAGAATTCAATTCTGATCCCTTTAAAGATACTAAATTATTACCATGTAATTGGTTAGTGATTTTGTTTCTAGTAAGCATAACCTTTAAAAGTTGGGGATGCATCATGAGTTCCTTGGCAATAGTTAATCCATCTTCTGTAACTGCTGGTTTCCTGGTGCCCGTGTGCGGAGAATCACCCGTGTGCAGATGAGTTGCTTTGCCCTTCTATAAAGGGGAAATTACTGGAGGTCCTTTAGAAGTAATTTAATGGTAATCTCATGTTTCAGAGGGCTTATAAGAACACAGCTGGAAAAGTGGCGTACGTGTGCTTTAGGAACAGTTAACATGGTTCTCAAATGCAGTAAGAGATGCCACCCAGTCATTCTATTTTTAAAGGACACGACCGGCTGTTCCTGGGGCCGAGTTTTCCTATTCTGATATTTAAATTTTAGATCAGGATTCTAATACTGTTGAGGAAAACACTGAAAGAGAGGACTTCATGTGAGCCACGGGGTACACAGTATGTTCGAGCTGTTCTTAGCACATTTCACACATCCTCATTGTGAATTTGATAACAGCCAGGCAGCTTACCTGTTGAAATAGGTTGTTAAAATTTTGTTCTATAGTTGTGATGTACTCCATGGAAGACTGTTTTCTTATTTGCCACATCCATTCTTAATGTAGAAGGGGGGGGTGTTAGTTGACAGTTTTGAATTGAGCAGAATCTGATGATTTGACCCATAACAACAAGCCACTTTTTCAAACCCCACTCTCAGCCCCAAGGAGGAGTACTTTAGGGGAGTCTTTCTCACACCTCCTTGCCTCCCTACCATAGAGCGAGCACTGTAGTCACTGTAGCTCATCTGCACCCTCAAATGAAGGAAGAAGAAGAAGAGATTACTGTGATTACTGAGTCTAACATAACATATTCTCTCTCTAAGTGCCATTAAGTTGCCCGTTCACATTGTAGACATGTCCTTACAAAGGGTGCTGGATAGAGCCAATTGTCTGATCAGATCTGATACCTGAATGACCATACAACCCAGATAGTAGCTATGGTTCTGATGCATTGTTTTCCTTGAGACTGTCTGGTTAATCTGTAAAAGGTGAATGTGTCCTTACCGTGCTTATGTTGAGTCCGCTTTTCAGTACTTAATTTTAGTACTTGCTAGGTATATCTGCTCATCCAGACCGTCAATTTATGAACAGTAACTAGAACAAAATTTGTTGAGGATGTTATAATAGTGATTGGCTAGGTTAGATGAAAGTCTGTGAAAACAAAATTAAAAAAGAAAAGACCGTGTGGACTGGATTGCCCTGGGGAACTTGTTCCTGCAAGCGTTCAGGCTTACTTCCTGTCAGGGGAATTTCATGTTTGTCCGTCTAACTGATTTGTCTTTCTCTCTCAATGCAGGTATCAGTACCATTAAGGTTAACATTCGAAATGCCAATTCCCTGGGGGGAGGCTTCCACTGCTGGACCTGTGATGTCCGCCGCCGAGGCACCCTTCAGTCCTACTTTGACTGAGCAGGCATGGTGTGGCTTGGGGCATGGCCTCAGAGATACCTAAGAAGTGTAGCAGCAAGGCTCATTCTACCGCTTTAATAAATGCATGAACTGTAGCACCTTGAACAATCACATCTTTAACAGGGGTCCTGACATGGTTTACTGTTCTTTCATATAAGGGATATGACTCTTACTAGGTTTACTTTCTTCTCGTAAGCTCTTTACTGTTTGGCTTAAAGTATAAAAGCTGAGTAAATGTATGCCGAGGCAAAAAATTAGTCACTTGAGTAACTTGGCCGCTAATATTTAACCATCTACCTCTGTTTTTAATTTTCTTTCCAAAAGGCAGCTTGAAATGTCAGTTCTAACCTTAGTTATTTTTCCCCCTTTTTGATGGACTTGCAAATGTTCATTCATATAACTTCTTTTTTTTTTTTTTTGTAAATGGGACAAAGACTTAGGAGAAAACCCTGCAGATCCTAAGTAGAATCAGATATTTGTCTTTTTTCTAAAAATCTAATTTGGGTAGTTTTTTAAAAAATTGTTTTAAAATAACCTAGACTATGCAAACACTGAGAAAATTAAGGGAATTTTCCATGAATGCTTTTAACATTCTTGTGTCGACATTTGGTCCTAAAATCTCGTCCTACACCTTACTTCATTTCAAGTGGGTTATTCTTGTCTTCTTCCTTCCTTTCCAAAAATTGAAAGAAGTGCTTAGTGTAATAGCTATAACTCGTAGTCCCCATCCATTAATGTTGATGTTCAATATCTGACACATATAACGGCATCTTTGGTAATCTAAGACTTGTTTACATTTGTGCAAATTGTTTAAAGCATAGAGTTTTAAAGCATTTTTTGAAAACTAATGCAGGCAAAAATACATGTGACATGAAATAATTTTAATGTTGGATATTGTATATGTATTTTTACTCTAATAAACTTTTGTGTTCCAGATTGGATTTATTAGAGTTTGGTCTCAGTCTAATGACTTTAATGTAAGTTACAGGAGTGTAGCTGTTGGATGAGAGTTCTGTGTGTGTGTGTGTGTATGTGTATTGGGAGGGAGGATGCGTGTGCTGTGTGGATACATGTGCTAAGGGAGGTATGCATGTGTGTGTATGCATGTGGAGATCAGAGGTCAACCTTGGGTATCATTCTTCAAGTGTCACCACCTTGATTGTTGAGCTGGGATCTCTTTTGCCCTGGCCCGGAGTTCAGCAAGTGCACTGGTTGACTGTCTCTGTAAGTTTCAGGAACCCACCTGTCTCTTCCTCCCCAGCAGTGGGATGTGAGCACACACCACCACACCTGGCTTTACCGCTAGGGCTTGCGAGGTCAAATGCTCATCTCATGCTTGAACAAGTACTTTCCCGACCGAGATTTCTCTCAGCCCACCTTGGAGCAGAACTGTAGTTTCCTGAAATAATCAAGATATTCATTCCCAATTCAAACCTAATACTGCTATCCAAAAATAGTTGACAATGATTTGTCACAGTCCTAGCACTTGGGAGGTAGTGGCAGGAGGATAAGGAGTTCTAGGTCAGCCTTAGCTGCATAGCCAGATCAAAGCCAGGCTGGGCTACATGAAACCCTGCCTTTAAAAAGTGTGGGGGGAGGAAGGAAAAGAAGAGGCCAAAACAGGAAACAAGGAAGAAGGGAAGGAAAAGAAATGAACAGAGTCAGAATTTGGCTTATTCCCCACTCATTCTGTCTGGATGTTTCATAAGCATGGGATAGGATGGGATGGTGAGTGGGTCAGTCCTAGGCCCCCAAAAGAAAAGGGGTCTCAGTTCTGGAGTCGATGGATATTTTTCCTCACCAGAACACCACATAGGATGTGTAACTAGAAATTAATCACAAGGTTCAGCTATTCTTTTCCCTGGTTTGTGTCAGGTCCCAGGACACAGAAGTGGTGTAAGAGTGCCAGTGTGACACTTGAACCGATAGTGTTTGAGAATGACACAGCTGTGTGGGTCGATGCACACACACCGAAGCCACCCAGTCGGGGCCTAAATGGCCTCTGCAGTTGTAACAGACACCCCCTGTATTCCCCGCAGTACGTAACCCAGACCTTCACTCTGCCTTCTCAACTGACCACATTTCGTTTTCTCACTGAGAAAATAGAGACCATTGGACATCAGTTCCTTCAGCTTCAGCTCCAGTCCCTGCAGATACCTGCCCACTGATGCAGTGCACTGTCCAAGGTTTTCTCTCTCCTGGCCCTCACCAGCTAATCTCTTAGAGCCGTGGTTCTCAACCTTCCTCAAGCTGTGACCCTTCAATACAGTCCCTCATGTTGTAGTGACCCCAATTATTTCGTTGCTACTTCATAACTGTAATTTTGCTACTGTTAAGAATTGTAATATAAATATGTACTTTCCAGTGGTCTCGGGTGACCTCTATGAAAGCGTTATTCAGGCCCCCAGGGGTCAAGACCCACAGACTGAGGACCACTGTTCTAGAGAAAAATGTCAGGCTTCATCTCGGTGCTAGTGTTTACATACTGTGCTCTAGAAGGGCAATTTCTCTCATCGCTGTAGAGAATGTGGAGAACCTTCTCAACAAATCTAACCTATGCACTATCCTCCAATCATAATCTTGTTTTTCAGGAACTTACTACACAAGCCAGTATCTTTCCTATAACCCCAGCACTGCCAACCTGAGGTATATGTGTACTTTCCACCACAGAAAATAACAATCGCTTGTATCATAATCCATTTCAAGTGACTTTTATGACAAAACAGTTTGTTTTAGTTTGAAGGCTACTCATGCCTTATAAATCCTAGAATCAAAACTTACACACAGATTCCACATATCTGTAATATTCAGTTGATTTGGACTTAAACAGCTAGTTGGCTTACTCTAGAGTATTAGATAGAATTGTGGTGCATTCTTTTTTGGGAGACTGAGGGAGAAGAATCCATTTGGAGCTACATATTAGAACCTTGTAGTCAAAATAAATAGATAAAACCTAACATAAACTTTCTTATATGTTTAAGGGAACTTTATTTGGCCACCTGATCTATAGCCGTCTTTTCTTTGTGGTTTGTATCTATTGATGACTGAGAACTGTAATCAGCCTATTGTTGTTGCTCAAGTTGGGAAAATTTTCAGGCTAACTCTGTTCAAAGGGTATAATTTATTTGATCTATGGCATTCTTCATTTCCATTCTTTCAGTTTGCTTTTTTCTTCCACGCTTCTGTCACTTTTTTGAATTCTTTGGTCATATTATGTATTCACTTCCTTATTTCCTTCAACTGCCAACTGTTTGTGTTCTCTTGGAATTCACTCAAGAGCTTGTTTGTGTCTTCTTCGGTTTCTTTGAACACAATTACAACCATTCTTTTGAATTCTGTATCTGGAATTTCATCTAAGTCATTCTTTTGGAAGGCCATTGCCGTGGGACTGTTTTTGGAGGCATCATGTCATCTTGGAGCTTCATATTTCTTTTGTATTTGCATTTATACTTTGTGACTCTAGTGTTCGTTTCTTGATTGAACTGTTTTCCAGTTACTTTTATCCTTTCAATGGAAGTGTTTTCAATCTTCAAAATCTACTAGGTTGTATTTGGATTGAGGTGTCATTTTTCTCATCTGGACTCGAGTTCAAGCCCGGTTTCCTCAGTACACCCTTGAAAGTACAACACTATCTGCAGCAACATTCACTATCAAAGAGCAAACTCACTGCTAAAATATAGTAACAGCAGGCAGAGATGACAGCTCAGTGGTCAAGAACACCTGCCTGAGGATTCCAGTTTGGGTTCTAGCACTCATGTTAGACAACTCACAACTGCCTGTAACTCCAGCTCTACGAGATCCAACATCCTCTTCTGGCCCCCTTGGGTACCCATACACAAGTGACACACACTCACACAGACACATACAAATACATAAAATAAATCTTTTTTAAATATAGTAGTAGTTATATAACCGGCAATCTCTCTATAATTAACAATCATTCTAGGGAGTGGAGTACTTTGTGCTCTACTGGCTACTGTGGGAATGTGTTAAAAGGAACCCAAAAGCAGAGTAGGACCATTGATTTGCATTGGGTTGATATAAAGTAGAGAAAGGAAACATAGAGAGGGGAACAGTTCAGACAAAAAGAGGAGGGAAGATGAAGAAGCTTGATAGAATGAAAAGCAAAGTAAAGAAATGCCATCAGATACCATAGAACAGTCCCAGGACTCAGAAGGCTGAGACACTGAGACCTCATAACTCAGGTCAGCCTGCATCTTTGGGAAAGAAAATTGATAAGGAAAGAATAGAGAGAAAGAGGAGAAAAGAAGGGGAGAGGTGGGGAACTAAGAACACAGCTGGGTCAGTGAGTTGACAATGGATATTGAATAAAGGAGAAACAACTGTGAGAGGGAGAGAATAGTGTGGAGATACGGAGATACAGACACTGTGGAGCCTGTTAGGTGGGATCCTTTGTGATGCTGGGTCACAGGTTGGCCTGACTATTTTATGTCAACTTTCTACCCCTGGGCAGGTGGCCCTTAGTTCTATAAGAAAGCAGGTTGAGCAAGCCCTGGGGAGCAAGTCAGGAGGCAGCACTCCTCTATGACCTCTGCATCAGCTCCTGCCCTGTTTGAGTTCCTGTGCTGACTCCCTTCAACAATGGACTACAGTGTAGACGTGTACTCCAAAAAAGCCCTTTCCTCCCCGACTTTCTTTTGGTCATGGTGTCTTATCGCATCAACAGAAACTAAGACACGGGTGCTGGTCATACCACGTGTGTCCCACTCTCTCTTTCATGTCTTCGTTAAGGAAATCAGTTCCAGATCCTGTCTGGATCCATGTAAGGTGCTTCACAGACCAAGTCTTGGGTGTCGGTTGTACCTCTGGGCAACATTTCAGGAGCTGGTGTGCAAATGTTGACTATATTTCTGTACCATCCTGAATGTCTGGCATGCTGCTTAAAGTGTGTCTCTAAGTTCCTTATAGACTCTGTCTTTGACCAGTTTCCAGCTTGTTGAATACTGCATGGTTCTTTTCAAAGTTTCTCCTCAATATAGCAGTGTTCTGTAGACCAAGCTTCAATGTACAGCCATATGACACTTGCCCTGGGGTTCACAAAGGATCTCAGGCTGCTGAACCTCCAACATAACAAGTTCGTGTGTGTGTGTCTGTGTGTGTGTGTGTATGCATGTATGAATGTACATATATATGCATTTATGCATGCATACATTTATATGTGTGTATATTTATGTGCAGCTATGGTGGTCATAGGTCAACAGAGTGTATTACTCTATCACTCTCAACTTCATTATTTCTTAATTTGTGTTTGATGTATATATGTGAAGTGTGAGGTGTTTGCATCCATGTGTTCATGCAGAGGCCAAAAGAGGACATGATATCTTCCCCAATCACTCTGCACTTTACCAGTATTATATATTTGTATATGTGGGGGGGTACATATTTGTACATGTGTATATGTGGGTGGGTGTGCCATATGCTTGCATGTGGAACCAGATCTCCTTAGCCTCTCTTTCTTAACCTGTGGCTCCCGGCAGGAGTGGGAGCTCCCACTGCCAACCCTTCAGGACAGACTGAATTCTCTCTCTTGGTTTGTAAAGCTCCTCACTTTACCTGCTATTAAAGCTACACATATCCACACACCATGCGCCTCTTCGACAGCTGCTACCCAGATTTCCCTAGTCCATTCCCTGGAGACTGGCAGGCCATGCCTGAGTGTCACCCACCATCAACTCAGTTCTTTTGTATTGTTCAGTCTTTTCTTCTTCATTTGCTAGACCAGCTCCATTGTCAGTGGCTCCAAGAATCGTTATACACCCATAAGTATTGCATGAGGGTTTTAATTTGTGTTCATTCCTGTCATTCTGGGACACAAGTCATTCCAGCCCATTGGCCTGACATTCCAATCTTCTTCACAAAAGAAGATTGTCACATGCTGAACTTATTGCAGCTATTTTCCATACTGAATCATGATCCTTGA